GATTGCATATTTTTGCCACTTGTGGCAAATTCTAAGGGTTCTAATATTTAATAATAATAAAAATTTTCCCATCTCATCATAATCCACTATCCTCCACATCTTGAAAATCCTTATGCTTTGTTTTTTATTTTCTATAAACCATTCATTTTGTTCTCTCTTTCAAAGAATTTTTTTATCCTCTATCTTTACCCAAAAGTCTATTATATTCACAAGAATATTAATTTAATCTTGTGCATCACACGTGTAACAACATATTTTCTAACATGAGTTTTGCGTACGTAGAGAGCTGGGCAAAATGCCCAAATCCTGCTTTAAATATTGGTAAATTTCTAACTTTTTCTCTAGTATCAATTTGTCTATTTTCTGCTTTAGACTATACGTATGTGATCAATGCAGTCATTTTCTTAACATAATCAAATATTTAATAGATAGATGACGAGACTGTGTTCTTTTACATTCTTGTATTTTCTGAAATTCAAAAAGATAATTTTTTTTCAATTCAAAAAAGAGTGAAGGATAAAAGTCATGGAGAGACATATTTGGGAAATTCTTTTTGAGGTTGGGGGGAAAAGAGAAACTCATAACAAACCAGGGGGAAAAAACACTATCAGGTCATTTTTTAATGGTCCACTATCATTTTTATGGTCCTAAAATTATGCAATTTGTAACAGGAAGATTTTTTTTTAAGAATGGCAATTGCGGTTGCATTTATTAGCTACAGTGAAATAAACATTTGTGATTGACTTAAAATATTCCAGTTAAATTAAGAAAAATATACAACTCCTCTAAGCATAGTCAACCAAACAATCCCCTATTTTTTTTCTCCAATGCATTAATTTGTTATGGGTTGATTATCATTTGCTCAACAAATGATATGAATAGTATCATTATTATTATCTTAAATACTATATATCTATATTAGCACCGTGACAATTCTTTTTTCTCTTTGCTTGTGCACAAGAACCAACCTCCTAACATTTGTTTGTTTTTTGTTTTATTTAGTTTTGCTCATAAAAGAAAAAGTCAATAGTGATGAGAAAGCTGAGTGCAAAGTTTGAAAAGATATCATTCCAGAAGAAAAAATTCATTTGAAAGGCAAGTATTTTCTCATATCTTTTCACTATCATAATCCCATGCATTTCATATTGTTCTTTTCTTTTCAATAATTTTCTCCTTCTAAAATTTCATCAACATGAGTATCTTTTTTTTTCCTTCCCCTTCTAAAATCAGAAACTAGCATATCTTTTTACGGCAACAAGCCATATCATTTTAAGGTTATTCATGTCCCCGTGTTCCTTGAGAAGATAAGTTAAATACTAATGTACGTGGGCCTAATCCTAGATTCATAGCGTCAACCAATTTTTTAAAATATGGTTGATTCATAAATTTCTTGTAGATGATGAACCATGGATTCAGTGTTGATTTTATTTGGAAGAGTATCAGCTTTGATCGGGTGCAAAGAGCAATGAAAACTTTTGTTGTAGATGAAACCAGTGTCAGCAGATGAGCTTCATTCTATCCTCATGAGTGAGATTCAGATAATGTTTTAATGTGTTGTGGGTTCGAATGTTGTTTTATGAGATTCAGACAGTGTAATATTCAGATGAATGCATGTACAGATATTGAAAGAAATGACATTTGATCTCTCTCATTTCTTTTGGGTTGGTATAGCATATGATTTTGTATTTGTGCAAGTGATTTGTGTGAGTTGCTGATTGAATGTGAATGAATATGATTTTCTTTTTTCTCTTTGTAGTCCCCTGTCATGTATACATAACTTAAATAACATAAAAAAATGTAAAAGATGATGAAATATTGTTTCAATTTCATTCCAGAATTTTGTATAATGACAGAATGCTCACTTTGTAACTCAATACACAAAGTACGTTTACAAGCAAAAAAAAAAAAAAATGTAGCACGTATCCTAGACGGAAATTTCGTCTAGGATGCTATATCCCAGACAGAAATTCCGTCTAGGATACTTCCGTCTAGGATGTTATATCCTAGACGGAAATATCCTAAACAGAATTTCCGTATTGGATATAGCATCCTAGACAAAAATAAAATCTGTCTGGGAAGCTTCATAGACGGATTTTATTTCCGTCTAGGATTATCCGTCTAGGATATATCCTAGACGGAAATTCCGTCTAGGATACCGCATCCTAGACGAAAACAAACTCGACTCGCATCCTAGACGGAATTTGGTCTAGGATAGGTTTTTAGACAGAAATGAGAGTATCCTAGACGGAATTTTTCGTCTAGGATGCCTCATTTTGTACCAGTGATTTATCTTCTATGGCTGTATAATGATATATAAGGGTATAAATGTAAATTCATATTTGAAATATCCATATCCCTTTAGACCGCAATAATAGTCTTTTAAAGGAATCATGTTGTCAAAAAATGGATGAAGTGAAGATCATGCGTAAACCATGATAGTTATTCAAGATGAAACGCCTATAAAATTGGCAACAAAAAATAATTAATAAAAATGAAAATTTATGATTAGATTAGTTGTATAGAAGATAGAGAACCAAATGTATGAAGAGAGTAAAATGCCAAATGCAAGCACAATGGCACCTTTCTTATGAGCATGTGTCCAATTTAAGCCATCTCATGCATTTGTGTCTTTTTTCATCAGAGATAAGAATACATTAATTGGCATATAGCTAGAAAACAAGCAAAAATGTTTTCTACTTAATATGACGAATCTCTCTCATGCATGTGCATATATGGCTACAAACAACGAGAATAGACACTTAACGTGCTTCATTTCTAATTCCTGAGTTGAGGTTAAACCTTGATATACAACTACTCGTACGAATTCATTATTTGTAGATCATGCTTTGAAGTAAATAGCAAAGAATATGATTAAATGTCTCTAGTTTTTGTCTTCCATATTCAAAGTTTAAGAAATTGGATAAATCATATGAATTTTCATCGAAAGAAAAAAATACTCTGAACATCACTTTAAAAGAGATATATGCATAATTATAAGTGAATAAAAATCTGACGTTATATCTTCAGAAATTATATTAAACAAGATAAGGTACATTATTACTTGTAGGATAAATTTCACGAAAAGTCCATCAATGTTGGGGTTTTTGCAAAAGACACTTCAATAATTTATAAATCATATAAGATTTTCTAGCCTTTCTCCCAAACTATTGAAAAATCTCATAAAAATGTCAGGGAAGTAGAAAGTCAAAAACTATGATCTGATTGTTGTGTCTTGTCCTTCCACATGAATGCTCTTCGTTCAAATTTTTTCATTACAAACTTTAATTTGTTATAATTCAAATTTATCATTCCACAATTAACTCATTTATGAGGTTTTTCCCATAGCTCACGATGATTTTCTAGTATTTATAAAGTTCAAATGGATTTCGGAGAAAACGCCCAAAGTTCAGGTGGCTTTGTGAATTTTACCCTTACTTTTAACATGTTCGTTAACTTCTACTTCTTTATTCCCACTCGGCGGTGATCATACCCAGTCCACCCGCAATTGACTCCCAATTATTAACCTCACAAACTCTAAATCAACCCACGCGAAACCCCATTAATCAATCTTATCAACCTAATTAATTAACATTAATCCCTTCATCAATCTTAAATCAATCTCTAATCAATCAATTAATCTAATATTGAAATAATCTCTTTCCAATTTCATTAATAAGATCCCACCAAATTCCATAAATTCTCACCCGTTTCAATCAAAATCTCAGCCTTCTTGCGTCTTTTAAAGCTCCTCTCCCGTCTCGAAAAAAAAAATAAAAAAATAAAAAAAAAACTTCGCTCTTATAAACGCTAGCCAATGATCCCCAACGAGAGATCTCTCCTCAGATCTGCTGCTCCGCTGAAACCCTAGCCAATGCCCGGACTCAGCAGCCGAGCGCGCGCGCGGCGGGCGGGGAGGAGCTCGCCGCTGGGTTGCCGAAGCTCGGCCGACTGAGAGCGTCTCGACTCCCTAGGCGCGGCGGCGCACGTGATCTGGCGGGCGGTCCGTGGAGGGTCGCTGGCGGTTGGCGCTGCGCTGTACATCGTCGGAGAATCTGTAGTTTAGGCGGGTGAATCTCGATGCGAGCGTTAGGGTGGGTTCATCTCAGGCGGTCTGAGCCGCCCCGCGCGGGGCGTACGAGACTCCTCAGGTTTTCAAGAAGCTGTTGCCGTACTTGGAGAGCGATTCGAATCACTCGATTTCGGTAAATTTTTTGATTAATTCTTGATTTTGTTAAGTTTTGAAGTGTAGTAGTTTGATGGCATTAGCATGCACATTGTTCAAACCTTTCCTCCAACTACGCTGACTAAAGTTTGGAAAAATGATCTGCTTCTTCCTATTTCTTGCATGCATTAGTAGTTGGAGCGGTGAAGTTGAGATTTTTTTTTAAATTGGTGCAGTTTTGTTGGGATTTTAGTAGTCTTGAAGTTGAAATTTTATTGGTCGAAGGTAAATGACTAGAACACCATTGAATTTAATCGGTAATTGCGCAATTTTTTTGAAGTAATTTGAATGGAAAAGTGAAAGGAAAGGTGGACTTTTTTGGAGTCATATAATGATTGTAGATTCTCAGTTTGGTATGTATATTTCTTTTCAAAATTTGAGAGGGAGGAGTGTTTTAATCATTGCTAGGTGGAAAAAGGGTTGTCAAGCACTAGGGTGATGTTGGGGGAAAAAAGCCTACGGAGAGGAAAAAAGTGATATTCCTTAAACACCACAAGAATTTTAGATGCCATAAGGCCTTTAACCAACATCCTAACACCATCCGCTAAGGTACATCTTGCAAATAATTTAGTTTAATTTTTCATATTTTTCTGTTATTCCTCTGCAGTAAAGGTTTCAGCATCTTTTTCAGTGATTACCATTAGATATAAGATGGAGGTAAATGCTATTTCAGAAAAATGTAGTGATTAACTAATTATAGGTGCTCATCATAGTCAAGAGACTGAGTTCATGTAAGTCTTGTTGATTAGAAAAAACACTGTACGTGTGTAGGTTTAATTGAGTAAATTACCCCCTTAGAACCATGTTATTTGTACTTAAATATGAAAATTTCACTGATCATAAATGTGGGAAATGAATGTTATCGTATTGAAGAAAGAGAACTTGCAATGGAATGATGAGGTGGCCCATAAAGGGAAAAAGTTGCCAGATTCCTTGAGCCCATAAATAACAATGAGCTTCCACTGACCAACCAAAACCAACATCCACTTTTCAAAGTCCATCATGGAACTCTATGATTTCTCTAAGAAGTTTTCCATGAGAATATCTAATCTTTAAAATTTTACTAACAATTATTGCTAGATGTTTTTGACAATGACTACAGATTGACAAAAAGAATGTTCCAGGTTTGTATTTACTAAGATAAGCAGTTTTACCTGATTGTTATTGGAGAAAGATAAACTATTATATGATAAACTTTATTCCTGATATTAATTTTCTGCATTATTATACGCATACTATTGTTATTTAATGATATAAAATATCTAAAGGACTAGGAAACGTATTTTCAAATCTGAGGGGTTTGAAGATGAACTCTGGACAAGTTTTGCTCGGAAACCAAAGTCAAATGATGAGACAAGCTAAATTTACCCTCTCGTATTTAACATTTATTCCTTTGATGAAGGAGGTATTTTAAGCCAACTAATATACGAAGTGCTTATCTTATTCTGTTTTTCTTTTTATTAAGTTTATCAATATCACAAGTCTCTTTACTTTCCAGTTTCCACTTCCACGTTATAGCAACATTGAACCCCCAAAAAGGAAAACAAGTTTTCAGAATGTCAATATCCATCCACCCAACTCATTTCTTCTATGGAGATAAGGAAATAAAAGGAAAAACCTGATGGGGAAACCTAAAAGCTTGAATCAACTTAAGTTTGTAGATAAGAATTTAATCCTGCTGGTCAAGACATTTATTAAAGGGTTAATTGTGAATAGACCCCCAATAGTTCTATTTGTGCGGATAGACACCCCGAGTGAAAACTTTTTTGACCTTTAAAATCGTTAAAAAGTTTTTGAGGAGGTGGATAGACCCCCCTATGGTTCTATTGGTGAGGATAAACCCCTAATTACATTTTTTTTAAAACTTTAAAAGAGCTGAAAAAGTTCGAAAAAGTTCACTAAGGCGGTGTATTCGCACTTGGGCCAATACTACATGGGGTCTATTCGCACAAATAGAACTACAAGGGGTCTATTCGCAATTGGGTGATATTAGAGGGGGTCTATTTGCAATTAACCCTTTATTAATTTAGTTTTGATTTTACTTTTCTAGCATGAAAGGTTCAAATTCAATGATAAAAAACTACTCAAGATGATCCCATAGAATGATGACTTCAACAAAAAGATTATGTTGATTCCATTTCTATGCTTATCGTTGCTATGAGTTAGTTTACCATTCACTTATTTGTTATTTTTTTAGCTAATTCTTTTATCTTCGCATATTGTTACTGATATTTTAGCTAATTCTTTTATCTTTGCATAATGTTACTGATCTCTCTTTTCGGTTTTGATATCATCATTGCTTATTTATGTATATAACCTGTTGTGTTGGAATTGTGCAGTTGATGACAGCATGGCATCAAAAGGCAAGTCAAAAATGGAAGCCTTGTATCAACAGGAGCTTATTACAATCAGGTCTAGACATTTTATGCTTGGTCTAATCGCAATTCTAATGTGATTTCTGACATTTCTGTAACACATGCTTGCTTATTTTATTTCTATACTCATTAGAGTCATTCTTACGTCTCCACGGAGAAGCCAAGTTCTGTGAAAAGTGATGCTTTCCTGTAATATTGAATGTGCTGCACGATTTTTTGGCTAGCATAGATAGATGACTGAAATGAGTATCCAAATGGATGCTTATAGTATTCCTAGTTCTTTAATATTTGGTCCGCAAGTGTTTCTTGTTTAGAGGTTACAAGCAAGTGCGAATCTTTTACCACAGTTATCTTTTTTTTTTAAAATTAGGAGTCCACAGCCTTCAATTCCTTTTGCTTTCTCTTAGTCCTTGAAACACCTGAGATTTGCCTTGTTCAGTCTTTAATATCATGTACAATGCTTTATTTATTAAGGTTATAAGGGTTATATGACATCTTAATGTTCATTAAGATTTGTTGCTTCACTAATCTTAATATCAATTCTGTAAAACTGTTTAACAATCTTTGCAACTGTAGATTACCAAGCAATGCAATAGTATATTTGATATATGGAGAAAAACATCAATATGCCTGAGTGAAATGTAAACTGATTATCGAAATAAATCTGAAAATGCTGATCATATTTTTCTCTGAACTTAGCCTTCATAGTTAAAAAAACAATTCAAATCTGTTGCAGTTAATCTGATTGATTATTTAGGGACTGCTACTGTCATAATGTATTTTGAAAATCACATATAAATTCTTTTGCTGAAGCTCTCAGGTACTTAGTATCTCTATTTCCGTAATGTATTTTACTAACTATTCTATTTTCTTTTTCCTATAGAATTGCCACCTTCAAACGGCTTTCTCATTATTGAAGCAAATGGCGGTCTGAATCAACAGCGTCTTTCAGTACGTCTTAATGATAGAGCTATTTTTCTTTTCTTTCTCGATACTGCTGTTTATTCCGATCTCCTATTGAAAGGAGGGGGAATATCTACTTGATATTTCTGGTATTGTACTACTGGAAATGTTAATTATTATGTAGGCAATAACATTGAAACACTAGCAAGATTATGCAATCTTTGCGAATGATGCCAAACACCCTTCCCGAAAGAAAAGGACAAACAAAGGGAGCTACCCCCCAACGCCCCAAAAAAAGAAAAAAAATATTATTTAATTTGTTTTGAGATGCCAGCTGGGTATTTCAGAGCTTCTTTAGGGAAATTCTAATTTTTAGCGAGACGCAAGAATTGAGAAATTAGCAAAATCAATGCTGATGCTAAATACCCGTGTATCACATCCCTGCCAATTGCTTGTGATGTTTACCTATAGTTTTTATTGTTGTCGGGATGATGTCTATGTGTCAGAGTGACATTACCATGTGAAACTCGAATTTAATTGAATTGGCACCATGCTGTGACTTTTGAGAAGTTTGAAACTTTGAAGAAGGGGGGTCCTCTCTTTTCCATTGTACTTTGATATGTATACTGTTATTCTTGAAAATAATATACATGTTTTAAAATATATAATTTTATTTTATCATGTCTAATACCACCGTCATCTGATCCTGGCACAGATATGTGATGCAGTTGCGGTGGCAGGTTTACTTAATGCAACCCTTGTTATTCCCTTTTTCCATCTGAACAGCGTTTGGCGTGACTCTAGGTAATATATCATATAATGTAGATTTTTTTGTACCCCTTATTTACTTTTTAGTTTTATCAAGTTTGAGACTTTGTGGGTTTCTAATTCTTGTTAGGAGTTGTTTATGCTAGTCACACAATAAAAAGACATTTTGTATTATTATGTTTGTTAGATTGAATCTTTTGACAGCACATTTCTGAAAATTTCCTTGTTTCCTCTTTCAGCTGCCATTTCCATTATTCTATTAGCTACTCAACTACCTAAGACAATCCATTTACTATTATATCTTAAACTAATAGGCTGACCACATTGCTAATGTTTTCATGAACCCAGATGTCTATAAGATGGAAGGTTGGTCAGTAACCTGATGGTTTATATGTTTCCGTTAATTCCCTATTCATTTAGTGGTTTTTATAACTTGATTCTTATCTGTGACAGTGCCTACTTGTTTCCTTTTCTTTCAAATTCCATCTGAAAAAATATATTTACTTTTTATAATTTGTTTATTGGATATTCCCAAAGGGAATTTGTATTTGATTTGTGACATCACATTCTTTTTTGCAGTTGCGATACTATCATTGTCTGTCATCTAATGTTTGCTTCTTTTGCAAATATTTTTAGCAAGTTTGGGGATATTTTTGATGAGGACTACTTCATTGAAACACTTAAAAGTCATGTAAGGATTGTCAAAGAACTCCCGGAAGATCTACTGCAGCGGTTCGACAATAATATCAGCAGCATTATAAACATGAGAACTAAGGCCTTAGCATCAAAAACCTATTATTTGCAGAAGGTCCTTCCGAAGTTGCAAGAGCTAGGGTATGTCTTTTTCTCAGCATGATTTGTTTCTTAGTATCTAGCATTTTATTAATTTTTAGCATAATCATGCTACAATTTCATGCAGGTATATCCCTTTAGAGCTTGTTGTCTGTTTCTCTTTTCTTATATGCATTTTCTATTAGTTTCTGTCCATTTTATGTTTCATGATTAGTAGAATTACATTGTAGTAAAATCAAGGTGATAAAGTATGATACATGTAAACTTTAATGTACTGTAGGACATTCTATCTAACTTCCGAGTTATGTTTTCATTGGTGGTTTTAATCTACTGTAAGACATTCTATCTAACTTCCAAGATTTGTTTCCACTGATGGGTGACATATCTTCAACCCGTTCCACTCGAATTGGATCCTCTCATTTGCACCACTTATCCACCTTTCAGTTCTAGTTATTCTGTCTTCTGAAGTGAACAATCATGCAACAGGTTCTTCGAATTTAGTAATGTCCTTATCGTAGATGTGGTTAATTAGTATATAACTATGTATTTGGACTTTTGCTGTCTACTACCAAATACTTCAAATCTTGAAACTGAGTCTTTAACTTCTGGTGCACTTCATATAGACCTTAACTATATTCCCTTTTGGTCTTCATTTATAAACACATTAGTTTTCTGTTGCTAGTTCTTGTTGTCATTTTCAATTTATTCAGTTTGTTTATTTTGCAATGCAGGGCAGTAAGGATTGCACCTTTCTCTAATAGATTGGCTCACTCAGTTCCACCCTATATGCAGGGACTGAGATGCTTGACCAATTTTGACGCATTAAGGTTTTCTGAACCTATAAGACTTCTTGCTGAAAATATGGTTGATCGAATGGTAAAGAATAGCTCAATGAGAGGTGGGAAATATATCTCTGTGCATCTTAGATTTGAAGAGGTGAAGCTTATGCCCCATCTTTAGTCAGTTTCCTCGTGGCTTAACTTTTCTTATAAGATTTAGCTGAGAAAGTTATTGGTTCATGCTTTGCTGTTTACATTATTGAAATATATAATCATTCTTTAATATTATTTTCAGGATATGGTGGCTTTCTCGTGTTGTATCTATGATGGCGGTGATAAGGAGAAACGTGAAATGGATAAAGCTCGCGAAAGAAGCTGGAGGGGAAAGTTCAGGAGACCTGGCCGAAAAATAAGCGCAGAGGCAAACCGAATGAGTGGAAAATGCCCATTGACACCATTAGAGGTTCAATACCACATTTTTTACACATTATTCTTAAATTTCAAGCTAGTTGCAATTTATATGTTTTTAATTCTTTTTAGTTGATAATATTTATCTGTGCTCATGTCTTTCTCTGAAACCTTTTCTTGCTATATAGCTCTAGCACCACGTCTATGGTTCTTTCATGAAAATAAAAGTAACTGAGTCAATAGCAATGGAAAACATAGGTGGGTTGTCAATAGTAATGAGAAAGGGTAGGATTAATTCTGGAACATAGATCACATTCATACGAAATATAGGGAAGAGAATTAACGAATTGCGGGAAAAGGTAAATTAGATGTTGCTCTTTGTTTAATCTTTTCCTTTTGGAGAGTTGAGTTGGGAGTTTTATGGTATGCACTAACATCCTCCTGTACGAATTCTTTTCCGTTTTTGTTCTTATATTTTACCAGTCTTGTCCTTTTACTTCAGCATGGACATTAGCAGATATGATACAAGGCAATAAAACGATATGCGAGGATTGGCAACCATGGAAAAAGGATATTCTAAGATGGAAACATAAAAATGTTAAACTACCTGATAATCTAGAGAGGAGGTGAACTTAGCTGAATGGAGAGAGAAAAAAATGATTCGTTAACCTAATTTTGAAAAATTCGCTATTTTACATTTGGATTTCTCAAGAATATACGTCTGAGACATTCATATTTCACAGTATGATGATAATACTTCAATTTGTTGTTTTTTTAAAATTCAATCGCATGGTTTTGCAGGTTGGAATGATGCTTCGAGGCATGGGATTTGATAATACTACATCAGTGTATGTTGCTTCTGGTAAAATTTATAATGCAGAGAAATATATGTCTCCTCTGCGACAGTTATTTCCACTTTTAGAGACGAAGGAAACCCTAGCATCAGCAGATGAGCTTGCACCATTTAAGGTATCCCTCTGATAATATATATGTTAAAGTATAATTCCACTGATTGCTTTTCTTGCTGTCTCATCTGTGAACAATTTTGTTTGTAGTGTCCATATAATTTACAAATTCTAAATGAGGTTTTTCCTAAATGACATTTAGCTCAGTTTACAGTCACAAATCTTTTGTCAGTAATAAACTAATTACATTTTTTTTGCAGGATTACTCTTCAAGGTTGGCTGCACTTGATTACACTGTATGTGCCAAAAGTGAAGTATTTGTCACAACTCAAGGAGGCAACTTCCCTCACTTCCTAATGGGGCATAGGCGATTTCTTTATGAAGGTCACTCGAAGACGATCAAGCCAGACAAAAAGAAATTAGTGTTATCGTTTGATAACCCCAATATTAGGTGGGATATTTTGCTCACTACTATTTCGTTTCATTTTGTTGCTTGACATTTTTTTATACTTTAGATTGTGTTCTTTTTTCTGCACACATTTAGTGTTTCTTTGTTTGTCAATGCTACTCTTTGAAGTTGTCATGTATTACTAGGGGTTTAACTGCATGATCCACAGAAAACCTGCTCAAGTTTTCAAAAGTGACAATACCCTTTTTATTTCAATTTCCATGAAATTAACTTGGATGCAGAAAACTGTGGTCACGGGATGTGACAATCGTCTATACTATGATTTTTTTATTTAAATTGGTGAGTATTTGACTGGAAATAAACGAGGATTTTCTGATGTTTCTACAAATTATGGAGCTTTTCCCCCTTCCATAGCTGGTAGTACTCAGCATCCTCTTTACCTTAGCTTGTTGCATGTACCTGAGCATCATCATAGTATAATCTTCGTTAATATATTAGTTGTTTTTATTGCAGATGGGATAAGTTCAAGAAAAACATGCAAGAAGTTCTTCGTCAGAGCGATTTAAAGGGCATTGCTCTGAGGAAAGCCGATGCAACCCTGTACACTTTCCCCATGCCTGATTGCATGTGCCAGCGAACAGAACGATAAACACCGATACACTATACTCAGGAACATATTTATCGAGCTATTTGTAAGTAAATCCAGCATTAACAGCCCAATTCATTTGTATTGGAAATTCTTCCCAGTCCTATGGCCATAATTCCGTTGGCGATATGCAAGTTAAGTACATCCTCCATAGTTCAGATTCACAAAATTCATTGTACATGTAACAAAAAAAATCCTCTCATAGTAATGATATATTCTTTGTAGTGTTTATTTAGTCATTGATTCTTTCTCACATTTCGCCTCTGTAATATAATTTCTTTTTTCCAATTTACAAAATTCCATCGCTGTAGTTCCAGAATACTGGCGCCATATATTTGTGTTAATATCTTGTTCATATAGATGAATTCAGTTGTTTTAGTATAATATGAATTTAACACAATTTTAGTTCTGTCCAGGTTCAAAATGAACATAATTATAGCAACTGTTAAAAGAAAACTATGCTGAATTTGCTGAACACGAAACGTACCCCCTTTTGTTATGGTTTTTTTTGTTATGGTTCAGAGCATTTGCTTTCATGCATGCCGGTTGTTTTGATGAGATTTGTATTAGTTGGGAGGAGGGATTTTTTAGCAACTCCACAAAACTAGTTTTAATGGATACAATATTGGTCCGAAAGTTAGTTTTTAGTTTGGCAAAATTTAGAGCAAAAATAAACTATTTTTTTAAAGTTTAAATTCTGGCCTCTAAACTAGTTCTCTTTTAAGACTAACTCCTATATAGATAAACTCTAGCTTAGTTAAGACAAAACTAGTTTAAGGTTGATCCAATTTTTGAATTGGGACAAATTTTCAAAACCAACCTTTTTAATTTTTTATTTGTAAAAAACGACCCATTTTTAAAATATTTGTAAAAACCGACCTGGTTTCAGCCTCAGTGCTGAAACCAGGTCGGTTTTTGAAAAAAAAGTTTCTTCACGGGAGTTCAACTCCCGTGAAGTTTAGCAGCTTTTAATTAAGCTGCTAAACTTCTTTCAGCGCTGAAACCAGGTCGGTTTTTGCAAATAAAACTGAAATAGGTCGTTTTTTACAAATAAAAAAACCAAAAGGGTTGGTTTTGAAAATTTGTCCTTTTGAATTGTCAAACATATCCCCTCTAAAAAAGAACATATATTTGGATTGTGACTATGAAACCACCACACCTCCAACGAATTTATTTTCTTGTTATTGTTTCTTATATTTATGACGTTAGTCCATTAATGTAGACATCTCACGTGCTTGGGCCCATTTGAGGCCACCAAAAGATGCGGACAAGAGAGTATCCAGGACCATTTTCCGAAAGTATAGCAAAATCAATGGCTTTTTATTTTTTTCATGTTTTTGAATTATTTCCCTTTATCCAATTATACATTATCTATGCACTCCCTCAGAAGTTTTCCGCATATGAGATGGAGGGGGAAAATTTTTCCTACAGAAGACTTACTATAGAAAATTGTATAAGAAAAAGGAGATCATAACATATGCTCCGTTCTTAATTTTAAATTAGTGCAATCGATGTACGGTATCAATGTAATTGATAAGAATATATTAGTACAATTAGAATATTACTCCGTGCACTTACCAATACTGTTACAACACAATAATCATCAAACTAACATTAACATTGGTGAAACATTTGTCATTATCTTCCGATATCTTATGTTCCCTATGTGACTTCTCTATTCGTTGGAATGCAGTTCTCATAATTCTAGTGTAAGTAACATTATTATTTTTGAATTATCTCCATTTATTCCAATGAATAGTGGTAACTACATTATATTTTCCCAAATTACTCTCAAACTACTACACTCAAAGTAGTTTTCTGTGGGATGATGAAGATTATGAAGAGATAAGCAAATTAAATGGTTGGTAATGGTAGATACTAGATATCCCCTGGTCTATGAATAAAAAATGACACCTCCACTTTATCAAATATTTTCTTCATTTTGAAAATTTAATACATGAGGCCCCATCCTTCTTTCTAAATGGGCTTTAGCCATCTATCCATCAGACATGCTCAGTCCAAAGTCCAAATTGAAACTAGCATGCAATAATCCCAAATCCAGTTATTAAATCTTTTGTTGACATATTGTTTACTCTGGTAATTATTAGGCCCACAGAGGTCAGGACCAAGAGACTGAAAAAGTGCAACAAAATCTTGTCTAAAGTAAATATTCTTTACGTTTACGATTTATGCGCATCGTTTGGCAAGGAGGTGAAAGTGGAAGCATGAATTAAAGAACTAAAGCACCATAAATCCACAATCTAGCTTAAGATTTATTGACATTCAAAGTTTTTCTTGGATTATTTATATTTGAGTATTCGATATAAGTAACACGATGTACTAAATACTACACATTCTAATATCAAATTATAAATGCAGTAAACAAAAATACTCTCGTAAATTAGCCTTGGTGAAGGGTCATGTTAGATTATACGCATTAATTTGTTCAAAGTCTTTGAGATTGACATGAGAGGCTAATAACAGTGTTGGGACTGAGACAAGAATCAATCATATAGGATTTTTTTTTTCAGTTTAGCAAGTCTCGTGTTTGGATTCAAGAGAAAAAATGAGATCTAAAGCCTTGATTATAAATGAACTTAATAATAAGCAATTCTTATGTTGGTTTGTTCATGGTTCGTTATCACTTTGATCTCGAGGAGACATATAGATATTAATGCTCCCTAGATTAAAAGAACGTTGGAACGTGGGCATAGTTTTTTATTTTGGGTTTGTCTATAGAGTGCTCATGAGCACTCTATAGAAGAGGAGAGAGATATAGAGAGATGATTGAGGAGGGGGCCCACCTGATTTGCATTGGGATCCCCTCCCCAATCATCTCTCTCTATCTCTCTCATCTCTTATAGAGTGCTCATGGGCACTCTATAGAAAAACCCTTTTATTTTTATTTTTCCTTCCTGCTGTAGAAACCGCATTTAAAGTAGAATCATTCTAAAAAGCCATCTTTAATAGTCACTTTATATATAAATTCTAATCAAGCACCTAGATTCAATTTTAAGTTATTTTTTTGCTTTTTCTGTAATAATTAGTTGTAAAATATGAAGTATATTAGAGGAATGATCGTTAATAGCGCATACGTGAGATCAATTACCGAATAAATTAAAGAGAATTATGTTACACATGACCACCAAGATCCTGTTATTAAGGGGGCGGACTGTCTGATGGTGCATTTTAGCGGGCTGATCTCCTTGCTAACGTGCACCTCCGCCTGGTTTCAATGAGGAAGAAGAAGAAGAGTAGTGGAAAGCTCAGGGATTTAATGTTTGTTTTTCCTTCCTCTTCCATCCCTGATGGTGAATCCAATGGAACAATAGAAGTAGAGGAACTTGTGGGATCTACTAGCACAATGATAATGAAGAGTACTGGTCCTAAGGGGGCGAAGAAGAAGCTACTAATGGATGAGATTCTTGCTAAATCTTGTCCGATCTCAGATCCTCAACAAGTAAGATCTGGTCTTCAATAACTAGGTAATCTTTCAAATTTTTGTGCTGATGAGGTCGATGAGGTTTTTGAATCTGAATCTATTGGGAATCTGAATCTAGATGAAGAAATTCCTGTAGTTATTGATCAGAATGGGTTAGATGATGCAAATAAAAGCAGGAATCTGGTAGATCTCACTCAAACACCTACTGCTAATGAAGTGAATGGAAAATCTATAGATATTAATACAACTAGTTTAAAATCTACTGAAGAACATGTTACTGATGCTCCAAAAACTTTTGCAAGTCTATTTGCTGATAATAGGAAAAGTGGCAAAGGCTTAAATCTGAACTATGTTCCTCACTCTCAAATGAACACTGCCATTTTTTCTATGGAGGAATGGATAGAAGGTGAAGATTACTGGAGATTTGCTCTAGTTGGACATGTTATCGGCTTAAATGTCAGGTTTAAATCTATGAAAGCTTATGTCAATAAATTGTGGGGGAGTATCTATATTCCTGAGATTCATCTAATTAAACCTGGTGTTTTTCTCTTTGATTTCCAAACGGAAAAACAAATGTGTGAAGTTTTGGAAGCAGGGCCATGGTTCTTTGGTTCAAGGCCTCTTGTCCTTAAACCATGGAGCATTGAAACTGATATGGATAAGATTCATGACTCCTCTTACCCTTTATGGGTTCAATTTCCTAACTTGCGGTTGAATCTTTGGAGCTATACTGGGATTAGTAAAGTGGCTAGCCTTATTGAAAAACCTATAACCACAGACAAATTAACTGCCACTAGGAAAAGGATATCTTATGCCAGAGTTTTATTGGAAGTGCAATTGCCTCTAAAATCTCCCCTACATGATCAGATTGTAATCCAAGGACCAGATGGGAAGTGTCACAATCAAAAAGTTATATATGAATTCAAGCCTAGATGGTGTGATACTTGTAATGCTATTGGTCACTTTACTGAGCAATGCAGAAAGAAGACTGGTAAAATGAAGTGGGTACCTGTTAATAGGATTGCTAATGGAAATACTGATGCAACTGTTGGGGTAAATGCTCACAAATCTGTGACAAAAATTGCTCCTAATACCGGTACAAATACTGGTGAAACCAATATTGAAGAGAATTCTGTTGCTAATTCTAAGGAACATGCTGATAATACATCTGTACCTATTATTGCTTCACATGGCCACCAAGATCTTATTATTAAGGAAGGCTCTAGGACTTCTGGAGGTTATGGAGCACATGCACAAACAGTTACTGCTATGCCTGGAATTGCAAATGCTCTCCCTAATTATCAATTCTCATCTCCTGTTGTCAATGCAACATGTTTTACTAGTGTTGTCAGAGGTAAATCTATGAGAAAATCTGGTGGAGTAACAAATGATAAGGGAACATCAAAATCAGTGGAGGCTACACCATTTCTTCAGGTATCACAATTTTGCCCCTTAGATCATCAAGAGCATGATTTTGACCCCTCAAGCATAGATAGGGGTGGATCCAAGTTTTAATGCACTTGGCTATTTGGAATATTAGAGGATTTAATAAATCCTCTAAACACATGATGGTGAAGCAATTCATTTTCCAATATAAGCTTCCTTTTATTGCTCTTCTAGAAACTAAAGTTGCTGGTAACAAAATGCATGATATTGCAAAAAAAGTGGCTAAAGATTGGTGTTGGATTTCAAATTGTCATCAAGCCAATAATGCTAGAATATGGATTCTTTGGGATAGTGATTTTTTCTCATTACAACTGCTTAGCTCCTCAAATCAATTCATGACTTGCGCTGTTAAGTCAAAGGATTACAGGCTATCATGCACTATTGCTATTGTCTATGCTCTCAATGACAATTCTGGTAGGAAGGCTCTTTGGCATGACATTCTGGCTTTCAAAAATAATGTGACTGGTCCTTGGATTATAGGAGGGGATTTCAACACTATTATCAATAATAGTGAGAAAATAGGTGGTGTCCCAGTATCTGATTCTGATACAGAAGATTTCCTGGATTTTACTTCTTCCAGCCAGCTTGCTCATCATAAGACAGCTAGGTGTTTCTTTACCTGGTGCAATAGACAAGAGCTAGACTCTAGAATATGGTGCATACTTGATAGAGTCTTAGTTAATGAAATCTGGATTCAAAATTATACCTCAAATCAGGTTGAATTCTTACCTCCAAGCTGCTCAGATCACTCTCCAGGGTTGATTATTATTGAAGATGAGGATTATATGGGAAAGAGGCCTTTTAAGTTCTTTAAGATGTGGACAACTCATCCAGATTTTCTCTCTGCAGTGACTTCTAGTTGGGAAAAAACTGTTGTGGGCTATAATATGTATAAATTTCATACTAAACTCAAAAATCTTAAATCTGTTCTGAAGGATCTAAACAAGAGGAATTTCATGAATATCAGTGAGCAAGTCTTGAGAGCTAAAAATGACCTTAAGGAAGTCCAAAAGCAACTGAACATAGATCTTTTTAATGCTGTGCTGATTTCTAAGGAGAAAGATTGTTTAAATAAGTATGTGAGACTGTTAGATTGTGAAGCTTCTTTTTATAGACAGAACCCTAACATCAAATGGGGAATATATGGGGACAAATGTACTCAATTTTTCACTCTGTTATGAAAGCTAATCGTCATCATAATAGAGTGTTATCTCTCTCTATTTGGAAAATGGTCAAAGAATAACTGATATGGCTGACATTACTGCAAGGTTCATTGAGTATTATGAAAAGCTTCTAGGCACTTTAGTTCCTGTCTATCCTCCTGATCCTAAAGTCATTGCAAATGGCCCTTTACTCTCTCCTGCTCAAAGTAATGAACTTGGTCTCCCTATAACAAGAGAGGAAATTAAAGCTGCTGTCTTCTCAATGGCTGATGACAGAGCCCCAGGGCATGATGGCTTCAATGCCTCTTTTTATAAAGCAGCTTGGAGCATTATCAATGAAGATCTCTATCTTGCGATACATGATTTTTTTTGCTCTGGGAAGCTTCTTGGTGCTATAAATTCTACCTCAATAACCCTGATTCCCAAGGTACTTAATCCTCAAACTCCATCTGATTATCGACCAATTTCCTGTTGCAACTGTGTTTATAAGATCATTACTAAGATCATTGCTGCAAGAATTCAGAGAGTTATGGATTATCTTATAAGCAGTGCTCAAAGTGCTTTTGTTAAAGGTAGAATTATCTCTAACAATATCATTCTTGCCCATGAGCTCATCAAACATTATGGAAGGAAACAAACTTCCCCAAGAGCTGTCCTTAATATTGACCTGAGAAAGGCTTTTGATACTATAAATTAGGATTTCATTGAAGCTATGCTGATAGGTCTGGGTTTTCCAAACATTATGGTGAAATGGATAATGATATGCATTACAACTCCTAAATTTTCCCTATCCCTTAATGGCTCTCTCCATGGCTACTTTCAAGGGGCTAGAGGGTTGAGGCAAGGGGATCCTCTTTCCCCATATCTATTTGTTCTGGGCATGAAATACTTGTCTAGAAAGTTGAATACTCTCAAGCATGATGGGTTGTTCAAATTCCATCTAAAATGCTCAAGATTAAACATCACTCATTTATTCTTTACTGATGATCTACTGCTCTTTGGTAGAGCTGATATGAACTCCATTATCAAAATTCATAGCTGTCTGTATGAATTCAGTAAGGTCTCTGGTCTGGATACCAACCCAGATAAATGTTCAGTATATCTAAGTGGTATTGATGACAATCTAAAGCTTCAAATTTGTTCATATCTGAATTTTTCTAAAGGTTGCCTACCAGTTAGGTATCTGGGTATGCCTCTTATATCTAAGAGACTCTCTTGGATGGACTGTTCTCCTCTTGTCAGCAAAATTTCTGAAAAATTCCAGCATTGGCAAAAGAAAAGGTCCTTATCTTATGCTGGAAGGTTACAATTGATCAAATCTGTCATTTTGGGTGTGCATATCTACTGGACAAATAACTATATCTTGCATAGTAAAGTTCTTAAAAAAATTGACAGGTTGTGTTCTGAATTTTTATGGAATCACAAGATCCCTCTAGTATCATGGTCAACTATTTGTCAAGAGAAAAAGTATGGATGCTTAGGTATCTTTTCGGCAAGAATTTGGAATCAAGCTGCAGCTCTTAAACTGTTGTGGATGATTCATATCAAGAAGGACCTTTTGTGGATAAAATGAGTGCATGGGAATTATTTACAAAATACAGATATCTGGAGTGTGCAGGTTAAATCAAATAGCTCTTGGATGAGTGCATGGGAATTATTTACAAAATACAGATATCTGGAGTGTGCAGGTTAAATCAAATAGCTCTTGGATGTGGAAGCAACTTTTAAAAACCAGAGATGTTTATCTGGAGTGTGCAGGTTAAATCAAATAGCTCTTGGATGTGGAAGCAACTTTTAAAAACCAGAGATGTTATGATTGCTTAAGTTGGCAGCATTAACAACCTGATTGCTATCATTGGCAAGTCATGTATAAGGGAAAAAATACAGGTTTCTGCTGTGTACACCTCTTTGGTCCAACCTGCACATCAAGTTGACTGGGCTAGAACAGTTTGTAATAATATTCATTATCCCAAATATTCTTTCATCCTATGGTTAGCTATTCAATCAAGATTGTTTACTCAAGATAGGCTATGTCTAATGGGTATTCTTAATGCAAATCAATGTGTGCTGTGTACAAATATTTAGGAAACCTGTCACCATTTATTCTTTGAATGTCAATATTCATCCACTGTCTGGAATATGGTGATGGACTGGATGAATTTCAGCTGGAAATCATGCATGTGGGATAGTATCATACACTAGTTTAGCTTCAGGCTTAAAAACAGAGGATTTGGGGGCAAATTAAAGAGACTGGCCTTTGGAATAACAGTGTACTTCATATGGCAAGAGAGAAATCTTAGGATCTTTCAGGGCAAAACTATGCTAACTGAGATGTTGTTTAAAGCTATTAAGATCTCCTTTTTCTCAAAGATTATGAATGAAAATATTCTGTTCACTTAGAGGAGAGAATTAGAGAGTTGTAAGGTTGTTGTATATATATGCACTGTGTGTGCACTATGAGTGCTGAGCTTTCAGTCTTTGACTGACAGTGATATGATATTGTACAAAAATTTCTCACTTGGTAAATGAATAAAAAATTTTCAATGACCAAAATTACCAAATAAATTAATTGAAAAGCGGGCTAATGTGATTGATTGGAACGAAAAACCCTTTGAATATGGTTTTGATATAAATTAAAAATCAAATATGGTTTCTATAGAATAACCATGTTTTAAATGTGATTTCTATAATAATAACAAAAAACCTTGTTTTTTACTTCAGTTTTAGATGTGGATACGCTTATTTTACTTTTATGTGTTAGACCCTAGAGGGGGGTGATTAGGGTCTTATGCTAATCTAATCCCGATTAAAAACCAATTAAAATTATGTTGATTAATTTGTCCTTGCAAGAATGATAAGATAGATATGAGCAAGAGAGATATGAATAAGCATAAATGAAATATACGCTAACCAAACACAAACACAAGATATGTTTACGAGGTTCGGTCCCCACGACCTACGTCTCCGCTCCTCACCTCGAGGAGATCTCCACTATCATAATCCGGTTTGGAAGCCGAAACTTCTACACACTCGGTTTACAACCTTACCGAAAACTCTCACACAACAAATACTATGCAATCACACTTTACACACCAAGTGTAGGAACCTAGCCCGTGTCCTCCTCCTCAAGTGCTCGGATGCAACCTCTCCCTAGGTTCGTCAACCGACGCCACTCCTAGTGGATTTGATCCTGTCTCTCGCCTCACACTTCTCTCGGTGTACAAGTGTATTACAAGTGATACTCACAAATAAAGATAAATACAGTGATTTGTTCTCAACAACAAATGAGAACACAAATGAAGCTCACACTCACTAAATCACACTCCACAACCCACACTATATAGTATGAAGATTTTAAGCTCAATATGTGTGTGTGATAACAGTGAATGAAAATAATACAACTCAATAAATATAGCTAAATAAATAAAAAAGAAATAGTAAGCTATATAAGGAAGAGTTTAGAAAACTTCTCAATAAACAAGAAGAGTAGTGGATGATGATCCCAATAGGAGTTGAAAGCCACTTCTTGTTGTAGAAAACTTCTCTTGAAGTAGATTAACGAAAATTAGCTTAACAGCTCTTTAAACGCCTCTTAAACCTTTGTTAAAACTTCTTGTAAAAACAAAACTCTTGGTTTTCTTGGTTACTGAAATAGAAGTCTCGCGGTCGACCGCGAGGCACAAAAATCCTGAGTATAGGGTTTTAAGGCTGGCGGTCGACCGCGAAACTCTCTGGTTGGATCACGGTCGACCGTCACGATCGACCGCGGGCATATAAAATCCATGCTAAGAAAATTGAACATGGCGGTCGACCGCAAATCTGACACAGTCTGAAAACCTGTTTTTGGCTGATTTTGAAAATACTTTAAAAATAGCAAATCAATTCCAAAAATAATAAAACTTTGGGAAAAGATTATAAATGATAAAATGAACATGTTAGAAAAGGAATTTTTGGAAAAATAATTTTCGTTTGCAAAAACACACTGTTTTTGAAAAGTGTTCGTAAAACCTGTATTTTACGAATATGAAAATTTTGATATGACTTATAAACTTGTATATATATATATCATGCACATATTATATGTATATAATAAAGTATGAATGAGCTGTAAACATGAAATAAAAGGTATTGTAACAACGTTTGATGAAAAATCATTTATATGATAGAGAACGTCAAAAATCGTGTTAAGTGTACATATATTGAGCTTAAATATAAACATACAATATATGTAAGTAAACTATTCTTATACCTAGGTAACTCTACACATATGAACTTGAATCTTTAACGCTTGATTGTCGTGTGTTGAAATACCTGTAAAGAGAAACATAAAAACAAAACTAGAGAATATATTAGCGATAAATTGTTTGACAAATCATCATCAAAACTATAGGGTCAATATTATGTTCTAGAATTTTATTTTCATCTGCCTGACCATTTCAATATTATAGTGATGCACATCACCTCTTAAAATCATACTCCCTTTAAAAGTACGAGTTCGAAAAAATCTTTCTATGGTCAATATTATTTTTATTTATTTTTTAACTATTACATTATTATCCTAATCTATTCTAACTATCCTATATTCTTTGAATTGGTAATTAAATGATTTATTCTATTCATAACGAGACTTAACATGTTATTAGATAAATGAGATACGTTTGATATAATTTAAATCATTTACTTATTTCAGTTTACAGAAAAATCTAAAAAACATATGGTAGCCAGTATCTAAAAAATTTTGGACTTTGTAAAAAATATCCTCTAAGTTTTTTATGTAAAAACACCCCTACAAATTCAAAATTTTATTAAAACATCTTAAAAATTATAAATTTTACTTATTTTAATTTAGTGAGAAATCTAAAAAAAAATATGCTAGCTAGAAACTAAAAGTTTTTTGACTTTGGAGAAAATATCTTGTAAGTTTTGAAAATTATAAAAACACACCTAAAAATTTAAAATTTGTAAAAACCACCTTGGAAATTTTAAACCTATAAACACACTAAAAACCTACAAATAAC